ATGTCTCATGAGAAACATATATTTATACTTTAAAAAGTTGATATTGGGAAAATGGGTAAAATAAATTTGAACATTTACAGAAAACTTCCACGGCCACATAGTTATTTATCATTTATGCAAAGTTGATTATAAAATTGAAAGGGATGACAAAAATGTAAATTTTATTTTGACTTTCATCTTGTGCACTCATAATATACCCTTTAGCATTTATCACTTAGATCAGTTAGTGTCCCAATCGGACTCGAGATAAAACTCAATAAAGTATCAGACTGTCGAACCTGTACTAAATTGTATGTCTAGAATCGAGTCCAGATCCATCACACTGTATGTGCCATACTTTGCTGTATGTCCTGGCGAAACACCTTCCATCCCCTCCAAGTTTGTCTTTGGATGTTTGTTTTGGTGTGTTTTCCAGACATGCTCAATTGATGGAGATAAATAATGCTTCTGAATTTTATAAAAACGTGCTATCATTGAAGCATGAAATCCCAGCAAACCTTAAAGCTCTGAGGAACTTGACAGTTGTACTGCCCGAAAACATGATGGCTGCTGAGAGGTCTAAATGTCCTTCAGCCAACCCACCAAATGTTGGCTGACTTTCCCATGTGTTTGTCTCATTGCAGTAACTGCATGTCTTAGTGCATACAAGAAGGCAGCCTTTCACTATTTTATCTACAACAACAGGCTTGTTACATGTTGAGCACTTACTTAACAATTTATTTAAACATGTCTCTGAAACAATAAATTTTCGCTAGCCACCTGGCTCTGACTTCCTTCCCACTCCATTTGTTCACAATCATCACTGTCTCCATCATCATCATGTGATGGCTCCCATGTTACATCCAAACTTTCATCTTCTCGCGAATGATTCAAACCAGAGAGGAAGCTGTCCTCGCACACACTAGTAGTTGGTGTGGGTATCTTCAAGTCATTTTGAAGATCTTCCTCCCATTCTGTCTGTGTTCCACAAGAAACCTGTGGTGCTCTTACTTTGTCAGCAGTCCACTGAAATAGATGTATGATTCATATAAAATAAAACCATACATCAATTTTAATGACAAGAGTACATGTACTTGTGTGTTGGGTTTGCTTACCCTCGCCACCCGATAGAGACCATTATAAGCAAGCAAAAGTAGTACATGTACATTGGCAGCATGTGAACATAAACTTTAGCACTTATTTTAGTATTGACTTCTAAAAATGGTGCCAGTTTTTACAAAATATAATAAAGTAAAATTTTCCCGCAATATATTAAACAAACTGGTTAAAAAGAATAGAAAACAAGACGGTTAAACCTGTCCATGAATAGCGCGCTCCATTTTTTCTAGATAACGAAATAATATATGAGCCTGTCATGACAAAACCAACATAATGGGTTTGCGACCAGCATGTATCCAGACCAGCCTGCGCATCCGCGCAGTCTGATCAGGATCCATGCTGTTCGCTATCAGTTTTCTCTACTTGTAATAGGGTTTGTAAGCGAAACAGCATGGATCCTGATCAGGGCGGATGCGCACTGGTCTGGATCAAAACCCAATATGTTGGTTTTGTCGTGACACGGCTCATATAGTTTATGAGAAAAAACGGACTTTAATGAAAAGCTAACCATTGATAACCAACGGGTCATGACGATAGCTCCACATTTTTTTAAAGTTGAGCTAACGAATGATTAGAAGGATTCAAATCTACGACCTACAGTTTGTAATAGGTCTAGCACCTAATAAAGTGAATTCATACGTTCTATTACAGATATGCATACATGTGTATTACAGATCTTATACATTCATAATATGTATATAATTATATTATTAGTTATAAAGATTTTTGACAGGTTATATGGCCCTAATATAAACAGTTGTTCGAAAATATAACCTGAGTCGCTAGGCTAGGGTTATATTGCAAACAACTGTTTATATATGGTCATTTAATCTGTCAGAAGTATTTACATGTTAAGGAATTTATAACACGGCAGACCTCCTTTTTTGAGAAAAAAGCAAGATTTCTCAATAACTTGACAGCAGTCGTGTTATATAAAACTATATAAACGTCATGATTATTCAATGAAATGTGACGTTACATACATGCAGTATTAATAATACCTGATATACAAACCTGCCATCATAAATATTTGTATAATTTGCCACAGAATTATCTAAATCCAAAAAATTACTGAAACATGGTCACTGAATATACACATGTCTTCTTCTGCCAATATTGCCAAACTATATTTTTTTTTTCATACTCAATAATTGTAAAGTTAAACAAAATTTTGTCAAGGGTTACAACTTACCAAAGCTGGTGTCTGGCACTGAACATGGTACACTTGGGGCACTTGGAATGTCTGGGCATTGCTTGCGACTGTTGCCAAAGTTTCCAAATTTACACAATCATCTGGCAGTTGTAATGGTGTTGCTGTTAGAGGCCCACTGATATCAAACACTGTAGTCTGCTCCTGGGAATCAAGGCATGGAGCCTCTTCTGTCAAGGTGTGGGTGGGGTTCTTTGCCTCATATTGGATCTAAATTAAAACAGTTTATTTTTATGAATATCTTACTCAGGTAAGCATGCCCTATTAAATTTCATGATTTTGTCATATAGTCCTCCCAAATTAATATATAATTTTCCCCTATTTTACACCAGAACAAACATGTTTTTTGTTTGTTTGTTTCATTTTACGCCTTTTCCCAACAATATTTCAGTCATATAGGGGGGTAGTTTCCTAACCATCGTTCCTGGAGAGTTACACCAGTACTAGACTTACCTGCCTCTGTGCTAAACTACCAAAGCATCTCCCAGGGATCGAACCCACGCCAGAGAGGTTACTGGATTAGAAGTAATTGACTCTAACCCCTCGACCACGGAGGCGGTGAACAAACATGTAATTGCATTCTTTCTTATAATTTTTTTGGCAACTATAAATTTTTCTTTGAGTGTCCAGTTTTCACAAAAATATTGCTTTTATTCAAACTGCCTGATATTGTTATCCAAAATATGCCAATATTTTTTTTATTGAATTTAAAACTTCTTATTTTCAAATAAAATTAGTGCATTTTCTAACAATAACATGTAACTGACAAACAAATATATCAAATTATTTCATAGCTAATAAAATAAGTAAATGGTAATACAGATTTACATTCAGTCACTGGTTGTGTGCTAAGTTTTTGAAAAGAATAAAGGTGAACTATTAAAACAACAAAAATACAGAACCAAAACTAGAAATGTGTCCATAGGACATGGGTGCCTCCACCGCTCCACTGTTCTGTTAATCTTATGACTCTAGGTCAAATACTTTTTAAGTTACGTGCGACACAAAAGAGAACGGACGGACGGATAAGGGTAAATGTAAATGCCCGCCACTAAAGTGTGGGCAAAAAAGGCCTTGATTCCATTGAACTGGATAGCATAGAGAGTGAAAAAGTTACAAATGATGAGTGTCCATGTGATTAAAAATAAAATCAATCAGATATTACATACATTGACATGTAATCTGTTTTCCCTCATAAAAAAGTGGGATATTGATCTTTAGTGAAGAGTTAATTATAGCTAGTTAACTAGACCATATCGATATCATACACAAAGACAACTGGCACTGTTTGGTGTATTGTAAGCTGACGAGTTGTATATTGTGAAATGTGATATATTCCAGCACAGTGGGGGTGTCCAGTATAGGACATGTATACATAACAATGGGAGGTAGCATCTATAAGTGTATATATCCACCTAGCCAATGCATTGACCTGAAAAGGCATGATTTAATATATATTTCAAGCAAGCTAGGATTTATAAAATAGATTATTAACATAAACTGTTCAAACTAGTTTATACAGCATTATATACTTACCATTATATATAGTAAGCTAAGATAATTATCAAGCTTAGTATTCACCTGTTATTTAAAGTTAATTTTATGTTTTATTTTGCTTTTGTAAAAAATAAAATAAAAATATGTAGAACTTGAATATGCAGACTATATACTTGTGATACTGTTGTTTATTTGTTTTCCCATTAATGACAAAACTACTCCTTGGCAGGGTCACCCTAACTGCTTCCTTGGTGTCATTTATAACCAGTATTTAAAACAGTGTGGTCTGTGGAAGTTGAATTGAGCTATGATAAGTTTGATTCCAGGCCATAAATTCAATTGAAGATGAAGTAATAATATATAACTATAAGAGGGGTGCAGTGGCCTAGTGGGTAAGCAGTCAATGCGAAAGTCAAAAAAAATTTCCAGCCACAAGGACTGGGATCCTTAGATTTATTTCCGGCTCTGATGATTTTTTTCCAGCCCGGACTCTGAAAGGTATTTTTTTGTAGGGCTGGGGGAGGAATATTGCCATAATTATAAACAAAAATATTTAGCAAATATGAATTATCAGACTCAACTATAAGATACTATGAAAAAATATGAGCCGTGTCACGACAAAACTAACATAATGGGTTTGCGTCCACGCAGTCTGATCAGTATTCATGCTGTTCGCTTACCAACTCTTTTATAAGTAGAGTAACTTTGAAGTTTTGCATATTAATGATATTTTAGATGCCAAAATTTGTTTCAAACTGGCTGAAATTTTTCGGACATGTGGACTGACTGTACCAAAATTTATCTCGGCCCTCCTGATTTTTAGCTTGCGAGGTCCGAGGACCGACAGACTTTCGCATGGACTGGGTTAAGGTGTCTGCCTCTCAACCCTTGGATCGTGGATTCGAGCCCTTATCCAAAAATTGGGTCATGTTTCTTCATATGACACCAGTACTGGTTAGATTCAAAAGTGATTAATGTAAGTTGCAAGAACTTGTTTGGTAATCAAGCTTAGATAAATATTAAATGTTTACACAAAGTGATATTTATAGTTTTGATTTGGTAAAGAAAAACTCAAAAAATGTTTGAAAATGTAAATGTTGACACTAAACCAAAAGCAAAATATATAAATAAATTATGCATTAACTTGAAGTCATAAACACTGGGAGACTGTCCACCATGAAAAATGGCTAGTTGCCACTCAACTCCTTTGATTTCTTGCTATTTTTGGTCCGAACAGTCTATACCAGCAGTATTTGATAGTTTTATTGCAATTAATTTAGATATGAAATGAACAACTGCAATCTAAAAATAAAAACCTACTTGATTTTTTCTTTTTTTTTCAAGCAGAACTTCTGAAGAGTGCCTTCTTTTTTGTTGAATTTCTAACCGCTTCCCGGCGGTGACTGAAAAAATGGTGGGCACGGCGTCTGTCTTGAGAGTTCTCCTGAATGTTGCTTTAAAACCAATTGTCTCTAAAAATGATGCACTATGTGTAAATTGATCCTCTTCAAAGTGTAGCGAACACAACCGACTGTTCTTATTTGGTGAATACACTTTGTATTTACTAGCAGAGTTTGCACGACCGATCTTGTTGCACCAAACTTTTCGAAGTTTCTTGTCTTTCGGAAATCGAAAAAAATTCACCTTTTCTCGACCTGAGAGAGAATTACAGCCAAAGGCAGCACACAAAACCATAACTAATCCACATGTAAATATCCAACAACATGAAAATACACAATAAACAAAAATCCGAAGAATGTAATGCCCGAAAAACAAAATTAACTGTCGCCTCGCTAATCATGTATGCATGTAATGGCGGACTGACATTTCACCAATGACGTCACAGCGTAGTTTAAACAAGGGAGGTAAGCCACTTAACGAAAAAATAAAAAGACGAATAAAAGTCATAAAAACTACCGTATTCCGGCTCAATATAATAATCAGACAATATTTAACTGATAATATTACCAATTTCTTGTGGAAATAACGTTTAACCGATAAATTCTGGTTTTTCTTTAAATTTGACCTTTAAACATCTCGTCTGATCACGTACAATATTTTTCCATTTCCGTTTGTCCTTAATTAAGATAGATTAACAGCTCTCACACAATCAATTTCTAAAACATACTTATGATTTGCTATATGCGTCATTGAATCACCATGCCGTCTGCTATATGTAAAGGATACATTGTTTATTGTAACAGCGGGGCCTTCGTAATTGGCAATAACGCATGCATTGCTATTGACGTTTCACGACTCATATAACCTCAAATCGCGGCAATTTTTTATTAACGAAATAAATGCGGATATTATGTTTTTCTTCTTGTTCAGTATTTCTCTGTTCACTGAATTTTATTGTTTCACAGCACTATCACTTTATACATGTTACTTTAATTTAGTACATATAACGAGGGCATAATGATAGAAAAAAAACTAGAAATTAAGATTGTCGTTTTTTTTCGCCAGTTTTATGTTAAAGACGAAGACAGTAAATTACATTACAGGCTTAATTAATATTGTTGTTTAAACAGATAACATATTCATCAACTTTAAAGCAAATTGTTTGTATTTCTTGAAAAATTTATATTGAAAAGTTGTTGTTTACCTATTTGTTTATAAATCGAACAATCATATGAGTTATTCCTCTTTTGCTGAAATATCAATATAAACAAGTCTGGAAAACATGATGCCATAATCTTAACCTGACATATAAAATGCACCATAGCATTGGCATTCAACTACTTCACTGTAATGTCGGAATTATAATATTGATTGTTAGTTTACGTGATATTGTAAAATAGTTTAATCTGATTGTCAAAAACATAAAGGCACACACTCTCGTGCTCAAGCATTAGTTCCCCTGACAGGAACTTCAATGGGGTAAAGAAACCAAAAATATAAACCTTTAATTTTTGTTAACTGGGGCTGACAGATATGCAAACTGGATTTTGTTGTGGTATATTTAGTCCCATTTGAGTGAAAACCATTACAACTTTTTTTCATTTTTAAAATACTTATTTAGGAAAGCAATTGATGAAATTTCGTACACAAATTGTTGGCCTTAGCCTACATTAAATACAAAAAATGATCACGGATATTATTTCCAGTCTCGCGATGTCAAATTTTTTTTTTTTTAAATCCCAATGAATTCCCCGTAATTATCAACACGAAATGTATTACAAGACATTGGCCTCGGCTGAGAGTTATTAAAAAGTACTAACTACATCAAAGAAGCATTTGTTGGGCATCGTACGAGCAAAGATAGTTCTTACATGGTACAAATTGTCCGTTGTGTCAGTAAATCTTACATAATCAATCTTATATAATTAACATGTATACAATTTTCATTAGATAAGTTGCCTTAGTAATAACTGTTTTTGCACATGCAACGCTCTAGCATGAATAAAATGCAGAACATTTTAACATCGTTTGCAAATGATAGAGGATAAATTAATGACCGAATGGCAAATGAATGAATGAATCAATCAATCAATCAATCAATCAATCAATCAATTTATCTATCATTTTACCACTTAAAACGTAAGGAATTTAAATTGATAAAAATCTTTATTATGGAACTGTAAATGGCATAAATGTTTATTTATAATTTGAGTTTGATATATAGAGAGAATGGTGTTAGCCATACGGGACCTCATCTTAAGAAGCCTATATATTTAATGTTTGTGCTTTATTTTATCATTTGTCGTGCATTCTGCCGAAGTTTTGTATATTATGTTTTGTTCTTACCCATCAACATATGCATATATGTTACATGCATCGTAATTTCATATTATATTTGATGTAAACACTAAGTAAGAAATACATAGATCTATAATGGCATTTACTGTTTGCTTTTTTAAAAGTGTTATAATTTTGCTCTTAAACAAAAATGTTTATTGCCCTCTAACATCAGGTTAGCATCTTTATTCAAGCAGAACATTATATGGCATTTATTACACACCAGCATTTTCTGATTCATTATGATCTGTTATTTTCCAAATTTCAATTTTATTTTAATAGTAATAGAACAAATGGGGCATAATTCAATATAATTATTATTCTAAAAGCTTTTCCGTAGAAAAAGGTCTAAGCAATTATCGCTGAACAATTAAAAATGTTAAAAATGCAACAATTCGTATGAGGTTTGATTAAATATGACAATGTTGCGTCAATCCTTGTTTATTCCATTTAATAGTTGCCATCCGATATCCGGGAACGAACATATATATCGTCGACAAAAATGACATTAAACCACATCTTTGATAAAAAAAATTATGTTTAGATTATGTTCAAGGGTATATTTGTTTCATAGTCTTTAAAAGGGAGTTGAATCCGTAAAGATTCAACAGTTACATATTTCATATGCCGTTTCGGAATGCGTCGAATTGTCACATGGTAGAGATTCCATCAAAGACTGAAACAATGTGTTAATTTTTTAACAAATAACCAAAGGTACAGGGCAACTTAATTTTTTACATTTTTCATAATTAATATGATATTGATATAATGATTAAATGATATAGTCAAGTAAAAAAATAATTTGTAATGGCTTCGCATAGACACACTTAAAATGAAAAATATTGTATAATTTTATTCATATTTAGGCTTCGTATGGAAGATATTCCGAATATTCAGCTAATTTTTATAATGCTGCAGATGAAATTTATCACGTGGATACATAAATATAATTTATTTTACGTGAATAATTCGGATATGTAATGTATGAAATAAAGGCAAAAAATTTTATATGAAAGAATAACTAGTTTTCTTTTTACTCGATGACTCGAAGAATGGCAAATAGTTTGACGGTGTTCTGTATTAAAATTTTAAATAATTTACCTTAAGTTAATGATATGTGTGCAATGCTTTAAAAAATGCTGCATACTTTATCGCTTTATCGCCTACAAAAAAGATTGTAAAATCATATGTACATAAATATGTAAAGAAAATGACGATACGAAATAACTGATTTGTTTTGGAAAGTTGGATATGAATGACAAAAAGACGCAGGTTTATTTTTCTCACTTTGGGACAGTCCGAAAGCGAAATTGATAGATTCGTCATGGTAAGTTTTCATTGTTATTACTGAGATATATATGATTGTGTACATAAGAGTCTTTAAAAAGTGTTGTGTATATTATTATATGCATAAACAATGTATACTGTCGTGAATATAAACATTCTTCCTTAGTTAAAATGTATCATTGTAACGTTTTTTTTTTGTTTTAAGCAGACACCCTTGTGTTGAAATGACATATCATTACAAGTTTCCCGTTTCTCCTTACTCCTTATTTAATAGTTTTAGATATGGTAAAATAATTATATGCATTTAAATGTACATAAGAAAGTAATTTTGTATGGGAACTGTTGACTATTTTAATAAGATCGAATTCCGTTTGGAAGAGTCGACGACAGTATGGTTGTAATTTCAATTTTTGTCCTCCTTTAATAAGATAAGAAACTTTAGTTGTTTGCAATATCGACAAATGTTTTCGTAAAATTCATCATCATTGATTAATTTCATTGTATTTTCCTGTTATCTGCAGAACATCATTGGCGGTATGCAATAAATCGGACTGTACATGTAACTGTGTATACATTATGGCTAAAAGCCATGTTGTTTTAGATCTACTGGTGCTCGGATTATTTATTTTAAAAGCTACACTTGAAATATTTCACCATAAATTGCCACTAATGGGCTAGCTGATTTATAAAATAAGTATGTTTATCACTGGAAAGCATTACTGTTAGGCAAAAGAAGTGCTCTTAAATAGAAATGTTGATACCAGTGGAAAGAATATGGTAATAAATGGAAAACATGGAAATAACGAAATTTCTGATTAGATGGGATTTTACTGCAAGTGCAAGTGCAAGAACCAACGTTAATCAGACCCTGATGTGAACATGTGAGAGAACCGTTAAATAATAAAAATCACTTGTTATACATATGTTTTAAGAAATGTCAGACTAACATTAATTAATGAATAGTAATTTAAACACATGTTTTGTTATATCTGAAACTAAATTATCAATATAGATTTTGTTACTGGAAAAGTTGTCACAGATTCTGAAAACGACTACTCATGAATTGAACAATGTTTCTGAATCATACCTATTTAGAATTGGATAAAATAAACAAATACTTATCATAAAAATGAACTCACAAGCAGGCACTACCTTTTGTCCATTAACATGACAAAAACTAATTTTCCTATACACACAATTGCTAATCATCACAATGTTCGCTTACGTCACTTATCACTAGACGTATAAGAGCAATTCCCCTGTAATGTCTCATTCGCGATATATAATCAAGCCTCGTTAGTTGTTTCCGCTTTTAATCATGTAAAACGGCTATTTATATCCTTTCGTTCAATTATTGAAATTAACAATATTGGAAAAAGCCATATTTTACCGACTTAAGAAAATTAGACGCAATAAAATTGTTCTCAAGACATGAGAACTTTTAAGTACGTACGGTAAAATGAGAAAATGAAATGGATATGAGATAGATGTTTATCAAAATAGAACTGCTAGGTTTCTAGATAATTTCTGTTGTAATGGTCCTCAATACCACACAATAAAGTAAAGTTAACATCAATAGTATATAGAATGTATTCTGTTTTACGAGTGTAATAAGTGTCATTGAATATTGATAAAATATATGCAAGAACATAAATGTGTATTTCATTTGTCTTTGTTATGATATGAATCAAAAAAGAACAACCACACGCGTATATTCAGTTATTTTTTTAAATATTCAAATCGATTTCGAACAAATATGTTCTTCGTCAGTGAATAAACAGGAAGTCAATAAACAGGAAGAGACGTCACATGACGTCAACGTCCAAGATGGCGGGAAACATACATTTTTACGTTACTTTATATTAAATTTCATTAAAAAATTAATAAAGTTAATAAAGATTTCGATATATATATATATAAACATTCACGGATTATTAAATACAAGTATTTCCTATATAAAATATATAAAAAACAAAAATAGGAAACAGCGTGAATGTTACGTAAC